GAGAGAGAGAGAGAGAGAGAAAGAGAGAGAATGAATCCCAAGCAAGGATCTCATGAACTGTGAGATCATGACCTGAGCCAATATCAATAGTCAGATGCTTAACTGACATGAGCCACCCAGACACCCCAGATTTTGTAGTTCTTTAACAAGATAGTAATTAGAGAAAAATGTATTTAAAGAAGATTAGCCTTGACAGCATTGTATAAATGGATTGTAAATAGAGGAAACTGGAAGTAGGGAGACCAACAAGGTCTCCTTACAAGACAGTTGTAACATTATAGAATATAAAAGATGAAATCTTAAATATATGTCAAAGGAAGAAGTGTCTGATCTTAATAGCTGATTTAATGTCACAGATGGAGAGGGTTAAGGTCAAAGATAAAAACACCTCTAAAATTTATGAACTTTAGGGAGTTTGAAAAGAATGATATTTCAGCAGAAAAGACATACCTGGAAAGGGCAGCTGGTTTTGGAAGTGGAGAAATAGTTTATTTATAACATGTTGCATAGGTTATTACAGGTTTGTGGTTAAACCCTTGGTGGTAATAAATTAGGAGGGAACAGTGGAGACAGGATCAGAATCATCTGGAGACCTTTAAAAATACTACTCAGTCAGCCAACATGCAATTTAATTTAGGGGGGAGGTGGATTCCAGTATAATATGCTCCCTCTTTTTGTCCTTGTCATTACCACCTCTGCTACTCTGGTCACCAATAGAGAACAATAACTTTAAATTTGGAAGCAGAGGACTGGAGCTTGAGAGAGACGATCCCCATATACCATACTTTCTTTGTCTTCTTTCTCTTTCTGTGGCCCCTGCCCCTACTTCTTCAACATCCAGTTAAGAAACATTACTGTAGATTTGGGAGGGAGAACTAGGACTTGAGAGAGATTGAGGCTGGAACAGATTTGAAAGTCATCAATATATAGGAAAGGGTTGAATTAATAATCTAACTAAGGTTATGAATTCAGATAAATGAGCAGAGGACTGAAGCCAACGTCATTACTGAATCTAAGTTCAAGATTTAAATATTAGAGATATGAAAACTTTTCTTTTTATCGAAGTATAATGATCTTCATTTTCAAAACTAGTTTTTTACACCATTATTTAATGTTCTAGTAATATACATAGCAATTAAATATCTTAGGGAAAATGTTTATTTTTATGCCATGTACAGCTTTCTTATTTTTTTAAGATACTGGTGTACATGTGTAGCTTTCTTGTTCTTTTTTTATTGCTTTTTGGAGTGAGGAGAATGAGAATGGTTACATCTTTCTTTTTTTTAATTTCCCTAATGACCAATGATGTTAAGCATCTTTTCATGTGCTTATTGGCCTTTTGTGTATCTTCTTTTTTAAGGTTTTATTTAAATTCCAGGGGTACCTGGCTGGCTCAGTAGGTTGAGCATCCAACTTCAGCTCAGGTCACGACCTCACGGTTCATGAGTTCAAGCCCTGCGACAGGCTCTGTGCTGACATCTCAGAGCCTGGAGCCTGCTTCGGATTCTGTGTCTCCCTCTCTCTCTGCACCCCCCCCCCCCACTCATGCTCTCTCTCTCTCTCTCTCTCTCTCTCAAAAATAAATAAACATTAAATTCCAGTTAGTTAATATAGAGTGTAATATTAGTTTCAGGTGTACAAAGCACTTATGAATTTGAAATGGTTCCCTGCTTAGTTTTACTTTCCATTCTTTGTTAAATGTTTGCTTTAAGAGCATATCTTTGGTTTAAAAGAAAATGCTGTCTATCTATTTTCAAATTGCTTTGGTTTGGGAACCCAGCCAGATTAGATAGGACTGAAAGAAAAAAAAAAACTGGTTGGTTTCATTTGCTACAGGTCACCTATCAGTTGGGCTATATATAGTGAGGTACCAGCAGTGCATTTCCTTAATTGACTTACTTTTCTGTTCCTATTTTGACCTATCGTATAGATCCTTAATCATTTGATGATCATGTATTACAAGTCTCAGTAGTTTTCCTAAAAAATTTTATCATATATTCTAAGCTCTGGCAAATTATGTGTTACTTTTTGTTTGTTTTAGTTTGAAATGCTTACTGGTACTCTGCCATTTCAAGGTAAAGACAGAAATGAGACCATGAATATGATATTAAAGTAAGTGTAAACAGTTATTTTTTTTTCTTTTGGGAAAAATTCCTTGTTTTCAGTTTCTTGAAACTTGTTTTCAATTGACACAAAAGAACACTTTTTCACACTGTCTTATTTTCTTCTCCTACCATATAAGGGACATTATTTTTCATTGTTAAAACATTCTTTTAAGTTCTTTTTGAGATTTGTCAATTTAAAGTATGTCTAGATTTAAATGAAATTTTCTAAAACTCTTTTTCAGAGCAAAACTCGGAATGCCTCAGTTTCTTAGTGCTGAAGCACAAAGTCTACTAAGGATGTTATTCAAAAGAAATCCAGCAAATAGATTGGGTATTATTTATTGCCTTAACTTTTACAACAATACACTGCCTGTTTTGGGAGGATCATTGTACCTTTATGTTTTCTGGCCTAGTTCATTTACTGCTGCTATATATTTATAACTAGGAGTTTGCATTTTGTAAGCACATAGATCCAGTAAACTCTGTTTTGTCCATGATTTAACAATAGTCTAGCTATTCAGAACTTCCGTTTAATATATGTCATTATGTATATCATATGGATTACTTCTTTTGAAATAATTCACAGAATTCTCCCTTATATAGGTAATCTTTTTAGATATTTGAAGGTAAGTATTTTGTCCCTTCAAGTATTCTTTGAGATAAATATGTTTCCATAGCCACTCATTATTTGGCCACTTTCTGATAGCCTTTCCCTGGATCCAAATGTGATTATATTATTTAATTTTTGTGTTAAAATTTTAATATCACTTTATTATATTGCACTTTGTAATTTGTCTTTGAGATACTAAGCCATAAGTTTAATTGTGAGATATATATATATATATATATATATATATATATATATATACACACACACACATATATATATATACACATATATATATATTTTAGTGATATGTTAAACATTATTTTTATTTGATTTAGAAGGAATTTCATTATTTCATCATACTTTATATGCTTCAGTGTGAGCATCAGTTATGTTTTATTATATTAAGTTGAAAAAAAAACCCAAAATATCAAATAAGAAATAATAAACATTTCACTGCAAGGAGTATATGAAAGGTGTATTCGTTTGTACAGATAACAGCAGAGAAGCCAGGTAGAAAGATTAAAAATAATTATACCAGTAAAAAATTATTTCCTTTTTTATAGGTTCAGAAGGAGTTGAGGAAATCAAAAGACATCTTTTTTTTGCAAATGTTGACTGGAATGTAAGTTCAGTTGTAACTTCAGTAGAAACTTTGTCATTGAGTGACTTAATATGAATTAACACTGAAGAATAAAATGCTCATATTTGGGCTTTGCTGATAAACTTAATCCTTTTTTTTTTTTTTTTTGATATAAGGTTTTTACTTAGAGGCGTAGATGTCATGGCAATTACCTTGAACCAGTAGGTGTGTGGATGATATTTACTAAATTTTTGTCTCTCATATGTTTTACCTGTTAAGTGTGGTTACTATTTTCCCCTGTTCTAGGTTGGGGAATGTGAAGGAGGAAGAGAAAGAGGTGACGAGGTGAATGATAAGGCAAATTCTTAAAGAAAATGAATTCTAATTCATTTCTCTTCCTCCTTCATACTCCCCAATCTAAATGTGGTAGACAACCACACTTAACAGGTAAAAAGTCTCTGCACAGTGAAGGAAACAATCAACAAAACTAAAAGGCAATCAACAGAATTGTGGAAGATATTTGTAAATGACATATCTGATAAAGGGCTAATATCCAAAGTCTATAAAGAACTTGTAAAACTCAACACCCAAAATATGAATAATCCAAATAAAAGTGTGCAGAAGACATGAATAGACATTTTTTCAAAGACATCCAGATGGCCAACAGACACATAAAAAGATAATCAACTTCACTCATCATCAGGGAAATACAAATCAAAACTACAGTGAGATTTCACCTCATGCAAGTCAGAATGGCTAAAATTAACAACCCAGGAAACAACAGATTTGGAGAAAGGGGAACCTTCTTATATTGTTGGTGGGAATGCAAATTGGTGCAGCCACTCTGGGAAAACAGTATGGAGGTTCCTCACATAAAGGTGCAACTACCCTACCATCCAGAAATTCTACTACTAGGAATTTGCCCAAAGGATAAAAAAAAGAAGGGATAAATGCACCCCAATGTTTACAACAGTATTATTAGCAATAGCCAAAGTATGGAAGGAACACAAATGTTCATACTGACGAATATAAAAAGAAGTAGTATATATATAGAATAGAATATTACTCAGCCATTAAAAACTAATGAAATCTTGCCATTTGCAATGACATGGATGTAGCTAGAGTGTACTATGCTAAGCAAAATAAGTCAGTCAGAGAAAGATCCCATATGATATCACTCATATGTGGAATTTAAGAAACAAAACAGATGAACATACAGGGAAGAAAAGGCAAACCAAGAAAGAGACTCTTAACTCTAAAGAACAAAATGATAGTGGATGGGCAGGCACATGAAAAGATGTTCAGCGTCGCTCCTTATCAGGGAA